TATCTATCTATCTATCTATCTATCTATCTATCTATCTATCTATCTATTATGTATACACTGTTCTTCCAGCAGGCCAGAAGAGAGCACCAGATCTCATTATTAATGGTTGTGAGCCACTATGTCTCTCTATGAGGCTCTGGTTGTTAGGAAACTCACTATGTAGACCAGGCTAGCCTTGAACTCACAGGTCTTCCCCCCAAATCCTGCAGTCTTACTTTGCTGGGCCCCAACAAGCCAGGATCCGAGAACGACCTCGGCAAGGCCTGTGTGCCTGAGTCTGCTCACAGCTCTACGAGTCTGCAGTAGTAGATCAGGAGCTGGAGATTCTTCCGTCACCACAGACAAGATTCAACAAGTACAAACCTGCAAACTCTTTATTAAATTCTCCCATTTCATCTGTACAGAAAAAAAATGCACATTATGTTCAGAATCTCAGTAACATCTGGAAATTACACAGCATGAACATGTAAAAACAAGGAACTGCGGGGGTTTATACATAGAAAAAAAATCCATTTACAAAAGAGGCTTGTTAATTGTACTTTTTGTTCAAAAAACAAAACAAAAAAAATAAAAAATAAAAATGAAAAGCAAAAACAGGTTAGAGGCCCGAGATCTGGCACGGCACTCACTGTGCATTCCGCCTTCCTGCAGGGACTGACCTGTGTGCTGGCAGTAAAGCCCACTGCCACCCCCTGCACGGCCACCAGGAAGCCCACTGCCACCCCCTGCACTGCCGCCAGAAAGCCCGCTGCCACCCACTGCATGGCCACCAGGAAGCCCACTGCCACCCACTGCACGGCCACCAGGAAGCCCGCTGCCACCCACTGCACGGCCAGGTGATCCGGGACCTATTCTAGCGAAGGACTCCATGCTCTGAGGTTCTTATGTCAGCTTTGGGTTGGGAAAAGGCGAAACATGGCCTAGAGGCATGGTCAGCCCATCTCCTCTCCTAGGAAGCTCTTCACTGTCCACTGTCTAGCGCTCAGTGCTCAAGTAGGGGTAAAGAGGTCACAGAAGAACCCTGTCAGGATCCTGTCACTGCCTGCTGCCTGTGCGGACAGCTGTATCTTTGTGTTTTAGGTGACAAACAGCCTGAGCCTCCCCTCTCCCGCCTCCAGAAGTCAGGAGTCTGGATGTTGCTCACTTTCAGGTTTAATCTTGGTTTGCAACTCTGTTGTCTGAGAACTGGGTAGCAAGAAGGGCAATTTGACGTTAAACTTGATTAACAGGTGAAACTGGAGAGGCCAGGGGAAAGTATGGCTGGACAGATGGCAAATCAAAGCTCCATGGAAGGAAGGGGAGCCAGAAAAGCAGGTGCAGCCCTTTGAGAGCCGAAACCAAGTAGGGCAGAGAAACCCAAGAGGGCATTCTGAGCTTTGTATTTCCAAATTCACAAGAAGCTGAAACATAAACTTCCAAGAGGCATATAATTCAAAAAGTCACCACCTGAGTTGGGCGGTGGTGGTGCATGTCTTTAATTCCAGCACTCAGGAGGCAGGTGGATCTCCATAAGTTTGAGGCCAGCCTGGTCTACAAGAGTGAGTTCCAGGACAGGCTCCAAAGCTACAAGAGGAGCCCTGTCTTGAAAAGCCACCACTTTCTCTACGTTCTGCAGGGCCAGACTGGGCTGGACTTCTGCACGCAGCTATCATCCTTCTGAGCTACTGAGCCTGGTGCAAGTGGAGAAAGTTTGTTTTTGTTTTGGGACAGGGGAAAGAATGGAAGGGGAGGTACCTTTTCAGAAGAACCTGACACCAGCCAGGAGAGCCCAGAAATGTCCCAAAGCCTCTAAGGGGGCATGGAGAGCTCTGGAATTCACACTGATCCACGAGTGAATGCTATCTCAGTAAGGCTGAGGGCACTGCTCTCACAACCCCGACCTAGAGTGTTGACTTCAGGAGACAGGAAGACATAATTTGGGTAGTAACTTTCTGTCGATTCATCTGGGACAGTGGACTGACTCTTCCTCATATATTTCTGACCCCATGCTGGCCTGGATTCTCTTATCTAAGAGCAGGAAATGGCAGTCATGGTACCACTAAATGTGACCACTTCATCAGTGGCCCTCGAGTGCCCCTACCTACATATGCAGTGGCTCAGCATGCTGACTTGACCCACAGAACCAGGACTGGAAATGGTAGCTAGCTGCTCTCTGGGAATGGACTTTCCCAGAGTCAGACTTCTGACAGCAGCAACAGCAATCAAGGCCAGGGATGCACCCTGGTAAATAAATGTCTCCTGAGGTGTTCCTTCACTAGGAAAGCCCATCAGAGAGGACGGTTAGTTTGGTTCTGGACTCACTGGCCACAGAGGCCCTGGCCAGGGCTCTGGTTCTCTGAAGCGGCAAAAGGCAGCAGTGGAGCGCTAACAGTCCCCAAGTCACGGGCTTGAGCCGGCAAACTAGACCACAGTGACCTGGCTGCTGAAGCCTTGGTCCAAACCCCCTGACTACTCGGCTCAGACTTTGGCTCCCACCGCAGGGTCAGGGCTCTTGACTAGCTCACGACTATCTAATTTAAACCAGGACTGACTTGTGAGCAGGGGCTTGAGTGCCTAGAGCCCACTCTCCTATGCCCAAAGCTACAGAGTGGACAACACTGGGCCCTGTGCACATAGACTAGGAAAACCTGCTCAAGACCAGTCTACGGCAAGAGCCAGCCGTAAGAGCTACTTCAAGGAAGATGAACACTTCCTTGTACTAAGCAATTCAAGACACTAATAGCTATCTTTTCTATTCTGACCATTTTTAATCACATTTTTTTTTTCCTTTTCCAAGACAGGGTTTCCCTGGCTGTTCTAGAACTCACTCAGTAGACCACGCTGGCCTTGAACTTAGAGATCCTCCTACCTTTGCCTCCTGAGTGCTGGGATTAAAGGCTTACACTACTACTGCCTGGCTAATGACAAACATTTTAAGAACCTAACTCATCCAACCTCCCAATCTACAGGCGATGAGGATTCCTGTCAGTGCACAAACAGAAACACCATGACATGCTAGAAGCAGGCCCCTGCCCTAGCCTATTGGAGAACATCAATGTGACCCTGCATCACAAGGGCATCAGGGCTACTTTCAACAATGTTTGCAGTTCTGGGTATCAGCCCAGTGTGACACTGAGACTTTAAGTGGAAGGAGGGAGGAGCTTTAAGCCAGTGAGCAGTGGAGGGTGCTGCTTACAGAGCAAGGATTTTAAGTCTCATCAAACTTAAAAATCCCAAGTAGGCTGCTGAGAATCAGGAGACTCTGAAAGCAGTACAGGGAACCAGGTAGCTTGGCAGGCAGCTCCCTTGGTGACTTCTATAACCCTATGCAGGGACATATAGCTGGCCTGGAACTCTCTGCCATGGGAAAGGGCAGCAGAAAAGAAAACCACAGTATTCAAATGCATGTCGGCCGGGTCAGACCAGGAGTGATTTGGAGCAGCTGATCTGTAGCTGCCGCAGCTCGCACTGAACGCACCTCAGGGAAGGTGGCACTCAGTGCGGCAGCACTTGTAGGTCTGAATGGGAGCCAGGAGCGGAAAGGGCACCGCCACGGGGCCTGGGTCAAGTGGACAGTTTTTAGGCACATGATTTATAATACTTTGTGGACATCTAACAGGTTAATAAAATATATATTATATAAATATATCTCCTACTGTACATGCCACCCTCTGTACAGCCACTGTGACACCATGGCCCAACTCAAAGGTGAATGCAATGCCTGGGTTCCTCCCTCTTAGGCCCTAACCCTGTCATCCCCACACTGGAGGAATGAGGAAAGATGGCTGGGAACCTTGCTCCTGTAAAGCTCAGATTATGGAAAGTTGACAAATCACCAAAATATAACATTCAGCCAGTGCCTACTAGAGTGGGTACACACAGCAAATAAATGAAAGAAAAAGAAAGGAAGGAAAAACCAACGGAGAAAATCCTCCATCTTTTAATGCCATCATCACTTTCCACCTCCCTTCATATAGAGGCACAAAAGAGCTTGTCTGGGAGGTCTGCCTGGCATTTACAGAAGTCAGGCTTCACTGCCAGTCACACGCTTGAGACCATGCTCAGTCTTTAGAAGCCACCATTTCCGGCCTGAACTATAGCTCAAAAGATGAAGTGAAATGCGTCTACCACCTGCCCCTCCTTACACGGCCCCTCTCACCCTCATCTCAGAAGTCCCACACCCCAACCTAGTAAGGACTTCCTGCTGAGGTAGAGAACTTCGAGGGCAACCCCAGGCTTAAGAACAGACCTTCGTGCAGATCAGCGGACATCCTGCTGCACAGACTTCTGATCCCTCCCTAGTCCTCTTGCCTCTGCACTGAAGTGGGGAGACCACAGGAATGCCTGTCGCTATGGGGCTGTGGACAGCAGTGGCTCATCTGGGGTAGGAGATGGAAGGCATCACGCTGCAGCAGAGGCAAACAGGATCCAGGGCAGGCTGCTTAGTTTCCCCTCTACTTGGTGAAGTCCCCTGCCCTGATGTGGCTCAAAGTTGCTTTTAGGAGAGGAACCAGACATTTCAATGATCAGGCACCGGATATGCACAGCTCCTCCGAGTCCTGCTGTCACCTGCTGCATTTCCGTGAAGGAAATAGCCCTACTGCTAGAGTCAAGACTGAAGGAGATGGGCTACTATATACATACTTTTTCCTTTCTTTAATTTTTTTTTTGTCTTTTTTTGTTTGTTTCGTTTTTAAAAAACTCTGAGTTGCAGGTCAGGTGAGTCAGTTCTGGAAGTACTGGCAGGTCTGTTGGTATGACAGAATTGTCTACAGGCAGGTAAACCCTTCGCCAACAAAGGCTACCACCAAAGCAGCCAGCTGCCAATGCTGCAACGACAGCTGGGAGGAGGAGGACACCGCGGATGTGGCCAAGTCTGGATGGGAAGATGCAGTGGGCACCTGATGCTGCTCTACTGTGGGTGTTGGTGCCACCTCGTAGAGGACGAAGTGAGAGGGTGCACTATACAGGAAGCTGTACAAACTGGGCCCTGGGCAGGTAGTTCCTTGGTGGTCAGGTGGCTCTACCTGTCCTTGAGCTCTCGTGTCACGCGCTTCGTGATCCGCCCACACATCAGGCCGATCAGGAACAATATGCAGATGCTCCCACTGATCACAGACAGGATGTAGTTCTTCGAAGGGGATGTCATCACTTGCATGGCAAGATCAGAGAAGCCATCTGCTGGGGCCACCTGGAAGGAGACAGCAATGTGACCCTCTGAGGGAGAGCTGGATAGGTAGCAGATTATATCTTACTTAGCCCCTGAATTCCTAGTTTAATATATAAAATATATAAATTAAATATTTTTAATTAATTTGTTTTGTTTTTTGAAACAGGATCACTCTATGTAGCCCTGGCTGTCCTGGGACTATGTAGCCCAGGCTGTCCCTAAACTCAGAGATCCATCTGCCCGCCTTCCAAGTGCTGGGATTAACAGTGTGCGCCATTTATACCTGGCTTTTCTTTCTTTTTATTATTACTATTCTTATTTAGAGCATGTGTGTGTATAAGATGTGAACATGTGGATACACACTTGCCATGATGCACACGTGGCACTCAGAGGGCTACTCTGAGTCGGTTCACTCCTCCCACCTTTAAAGAGGTACCAGGGATTGAACTCAGGTCTTTAGGGTCCCACGGCAGGCCTTCTCCCCCACTGAGCCACCTTGTGCACTCTAATTCAGATCTTTTAGCTCAAGGGGGAGAGGAAAGGAAACCAACACAACTATAACACTTTTTCTGGATCATAAAACTACAAGTGTCCCCTGCCCAAACTGAGATATAGAGAGACAAAGAGGTGCCATCGCCCTCACATGCTGCGGGCACGATGTCAGCCTGTGTGAGGTCTCTGCCCACTCTCACTCACTGCTCACCCCAGCCCAGCAAGCATATCTCGTTACTCCAACATTACAACGAAGACTGCAGGCTGGGGTCCTTGTGACAATCAGAAAGCTACAGATTTATTTATGCTCTTCACTGTGTTTGATACCTTTTTAAAAAACAAGGCAAAAAGCTGAGATCATGCCTTATGTTTTTCTTTTCAGTTTTTTGTTTTGTTTTCCAGACAAAGTTTCTATGTGTAGCTTTAGAGCCTGTCTTGGAACTCACACTGTAGACCAGGCTGGTCTGGAACTCACAGGGATCCACCTGCCTCTGCCTCCCAAGTGCTGGGATTAAAGGCGTGAGCCACCATTGCTCAGCTTTCTTTTAATTTTTATTGTTGCTAGAGGACGGTTCAGGCTGCCTCATGGTTGTGATGTGCTTGCCTTAACATCCAAACACTGGGATTACTGGCATGCACCATGTTGGAAGTGTAATCACTGCATTGTAAGTACTTGTTCACATCAAGAACACTACGTAATCACGACTCAGAAAATCAGGACCAAAAGGTTCCCTAAGTGCACGCAAACTGTTCTTTTGAGTATCATCCTGGAATCTTAGAAGCCTGTGGTCACAAGAAACCTGGGCAGCTCCTATGTTCATGACATATATTTAAGAACAGAGCAGGAGGTATAAGATTAACGAGATTTTCTACCACACAATAAGCAGTAAGTCTCTCTGAGTCACAGCCACGCATGAGCAGCTCAAAGGAGAGGGAAACAGTAGGGGAAGACGACTCAGTGTCGGCTGTTCTACCTAACCGGGGTCCACAAGTGATAACCTTCCAGTGCTGAACTCCGGGAAACTGAGTACAAAGAGTACTGGTCTGATAGAGCTTTGCAGACCTAGCTAGCCTGCGGGAAGGGAGACATGTCATGTTTTAGAGACTTAATATTGTTTTTCTAGACAGGGTTTCTTTGGGTAGTTCTCACTATCCTGGAACTCACTCTGTAGACCAGGCTGGCCTCGAACTCAGATATCTGCCCACCTTTGCCTCCTGAGTGCTGGGATTAAAGGTGTGCACCCCTGCCAGCCTCATTTTGGAGTCTATCTACTGTCAGATTTCTATCAAAGGTAAGACAGTGATGCACACCACAAAGATGTAAACTGGCAGAAGAGGCTGCCACGTCAGAGGCTTTCTTGCTCCTTACCTTGGCGGCATAACTCCACATTTCAATTCGGTCATTGAGGCGCTTTTTGCACTCTGGTTGTAACCTCACCCGCTTATCTTCCAAGGCCTCCATTAGGCAGGACATCTCTGTGGAAGCAAATATAAGAAGTCTGCAACGGTACAGAAACAATTCTGTAATTTCAGGGAGAAGATTCCCAAGCACCTCAGAACTCAGCTCATCAGGACCAACAAAGTCAAATTCTTTCTGGGAACCTTGCTCAAGATCCCACTGGTGAGGAGTGTGACTTCCAGTGTCAGCTGCCCACAACCTTTTCACACCTCTTATTTTCACTGGGTGTCCCTGGTTTCAGACACCAAGAAGCTGCCATTGTCCCATTATAGACCCAGGGGGCTCAGTGCAGGAAAGAGGACATGGTCATGATTTAATTTTTTTTTTTTTTTGAGACAGGGTCTCTCTGTGTAGCCCTGAATGTCTAGGAAATCTCTATAGAGACTAGTCTGGCCTTGAACTCAAAGAGATCTGCCTGTCTCTGGCTCCCAAGTATTGGGACTAAAGGTGTACACCACTATGCTTAGCTGTAACTGAATTTTTGATTCCCTAATAAATAACTCAAATTTCCCTTTTCACTAAATCTTTGGCTCTGGCTAGTTCAAACCTGCAAAATTAGTCCCAAATTCACTGCCACCAAAGCCTTGCTTACCATCTAGCAGACATCCAGGAGAGGTTGTATATGGCTGGGCTACAGACACAGTCAGAGTAGCTGTAGGTTACTCAAAGGCAGCGTTCGAGTACAAAGGAGTTCAGACAGGGACAGAGCAATAAATATTACTTACGACGCCCTCGGCCAGGGGTGATGGCTGCACAGTGGTGTTTAATGTCCAAGGCACATGCTGTGTGAAGAACTGGGTCCACAAAAATGTCTGCTTTGCTCTCCTTCAACATGTTTAACACTTCCTGAAAAGGGAAGTTCATTGTGGAAAGAGCTTTGTAGAGGAAATCTATCCAATCTGCTGGCTGTAATACTCTACAGAACATGCAAACAAACAGACCAAAGGGGGAAGATGAACTACAAAGTACTCTGGCACAGGCGGGTGGTAATGTCGCCATATATGCACAGAACGCAGACTTCTGGAACCTGGTTTAACTTGCTAGCTACCTCTGAGGAATACAATAGGAGCTAAAGAAAGCTAAGAACAGTATGTACAAGATTGAATGACCAGGCAGGAGTTCTTGGCATTTGGTCTGCCACCTTATTTTAAAATACCTACATGTTTGTATTTTTTTGATATAATACTTACTCTGTTACTTTAGGAAAAATAAACAATGTGAAATTCAAAAATTTGACTGACTGAGACTGAGGATTGAGAACTTTAATATACAACCTATTAGTCTAACCTTCAAATGCCACTTCTCAATCAAGAGGCTAGAGAAACGGCTCAGTGGTAAGAGCACTTGCTGCTCTTCCAGAGGACCTGAGTTGGGTTCCAGCAGTCAAGGCATCCGATGCCTCTGGCTTCCTGCACATACCCACATGCAGACAACACATAATTAAAAAAAAAATCTTAATTTCTGAACTAAATAAAGGTATGTTTGTTTATAAAATGTTCTACTTTACATATACATGCCCTTAAAAAAAGATTTATTTTCATTAACTTTATGTGCATGTGTGTGGGTATGTCGTACATGTGGGTTATCTGTGGAGGCCAGAGGGCACAGGGTCCCCTGAAATTGGACTTACAGGTGGTTGTGAGCTGCCTGACACAGCTGCTAGGAAAAGGACTGCAGGAAGAAAAGCAAGTGCTCGCAACTACTCCATCATTTCCCCAGCCCCATTTCTGTCTTTTTAATTATCTGAGTTTAAAGACGTCCTGAGCAAGAGGGATATAAACACAGTAGAACTAAATTCAATTCCACAGATACTTTCTTTATGCACAGCGCAATTAGAGGAAGCAAAGACAGACCACAAATGTTTGTCTCTTCTCTTAGAGATTTCCACCTGCCTCTGCCTCGGAAGTGATAGAATTAAAGGTGTGAGCCACCACGCCCAGCTGACTTTTTTAAAATTGTGCTTTGCCATGAGTGCTGGGAGACTTACAGACAGTTGTGAGCTGCCATGTGGGTGCTGGAAATTGAACCCGGGTCCTCTGGAAGAGCAGTCAGTGCTCCCCCTGCTAAGATTTATTTATTTAGCATGTATTGTATTCTGCCTGCATGTGTCCCTGAAGGCCAGAACAGGGCACCAGATCTCAATCAAGGTGGTTGTGAGTTACTGGGCTGGGAACTGAACTCAGGACCTTCAGAAGAAGCAGTCAGTGCTCTTAACCTCTGAGCCATCTCTCCAGCCCCGGAATTTTTAAAATTATTATTATGTTTGTTTATTTTGTGTATATGTTTGCAGAAGTCAGAAGAAAACTTTGAGTCTGTTCTTTCCTTCCACCATATGTGTTCTGGGACCAAGCTGTCAGACTTGGTGGCAAGTGTTTTTTTCCTTTACTTTTTCTCTTGTGATGATGGGGGCTGATTGTAGGAATAGGCAAGCACTCTACTACTGAACTTCACCAAGCCGCAGAAATGAGTTCTTAATAAAAATTAGTTTGTTTTCAATAGAAAGTTCTTTAAGACAACAACAACAAAACCTCAAAAACATCTCCACAAAGCCCAAATATTGTTTAAAAATTCAGTTTAGTCATACAGGTTCATTTGTGATCAAGAAAATGTATGGAGTAGGTTCTTTTTTTATTTACTTGGGTCTCCCTAATCAACCTTGGCTGTCCTTGCTGTAGACCAGGCTGGCCTAAAACTCAGAGATTCACCTGCCTCTGCCTCCCCAAGTGCTGGGAATAAACATGTGCACCACAAGCTTGGATTTGGTTTTTAACTAGCTCTTACCATTTCTCAAAATGTGGACTTGAACACTTTTAGCAGAGAAAGATATATCCACATTTCCCTTATCTCTTCTTCCTTTTAATGCTATAATACCAACTCCTTAGTCATCAAAAATAAGCTGGGCATGGTGGTGCATGCCTTTAATGCCAGCACTCAGGATGCAGGTGGATCTCTGAGTTCAAGGGTAGCCTGGTCTACACAGTGAGTTCAGAACAATCAGGGCTACAAAGAGAAACCCTGTCTTGAAAAATCAGGGGAAAAATGTATTCAAATATGAAATATAAGCCTTCTTACCTATCATTCTATGCTGTTACCTCTTTTCAAACCGTAATATGGTCCTAGACCATTCATTAATCGATGATTCTCTTCCAATAAATAGAAGGGAATCAAAAGGAAAAACAGAAAAGAAGGCAGGAGATAGGCAAGGATGAGGGCGTGCCTACCTTTTTACACAGCTCTGTCTTGATCTTGAGCAGGTTAACCTTGAGGCATTCTTCCACTTGGCCCGTTTGCTCCTGGGCTGCTGCTTCTTCAGCACACAGGTTGGCAATCTGCTCAGGAGACAAGAAAACAGGGCCACCCTACTGAGAACAACTGGCTTCCAGAGACGATCAACCCCGTCCAATCAGCCTGGAATACTTGGTGCCTGTTGCTGACTCTGAATAGGTCTACTCCTCAGGTACAGGTGAGAAACCCGGGTCCCTAGGTATCAATGTGGATTCTCCCAGTTGTGTCCAGGCTTCTGGAGCAGCTTCCTAGTGGAGTGTGCACTCCTGCATCTGCACTCAGTGACAGACGCCAAGCTCTGTTCTCTTTTCATATTTCAGAGGCCGTCACTTCAGAAAGAGGTGCATTGTTCCGGGACTTGTCATGAAAGGAGGCTACTCCACAGGAGGAAGGGTCAAATACCCAAGGAAAATACTAAAAACAAACACTTAACACCCGGCTCAGGTTTACAACTTGGCATCCACTGCATGTGACATGCACCCTCAGACTTCCCAAACATGATCTCCAGAGAAGAGAGTAAACACTTTCTTTGGACAGTTTTAAGAGTCTACACAGGGCTCCTGAAGTGGCCTTTTCTAGCCAGGAAGACAAATTAATTTCCAAGGACAGGCACTTAGTCATTAGGAGAGCACTTCTACTTTTCTGGTAAGTCTTGAGGGGTTCTGAATGGTCATCCAGAATACTAAGGGAGGACCGCACTACGTGTAGAAGTAATAAAATACTCTTATTTAATAGACAAATGTGGACGCAATACTGTAGAGAAGGAAACTGATGCCAAGTCCAGCTCACTGTTACCCAGAAGACAGGCCTGTAAGGAACCACAGTCAGGAAGAAAGTACAGAAAAGAATTTTCTCCAGTCACCTCTTCTGGGAAGCCCTCCCTTGCAAGCATGGCTTACCTCATCTGAGCAGTGCAGCTGGAGCTGAGGATCCAGACGGTAATCTAGAGCGGACTCCTGGATGATGATGCGGATCTGGTCCTCACAGTCTGAAGACAGGCGCTGGAGATGACAAAGGGAAACACATTAGCGCACCCGAGAGCATCAGTTTTTTATATGAGCCCTCACAACCCAGCTTAGAGGAAGGCAAAAAAGGTCTTAGGACAACAGGAAAATGCCGGTGATGGCCACGGAGAAAATGCTCATCTCCAGCTCTGTAGAGAGCCCAGTCAGTGTACCTGGTCAGCGTATCTCAGCTTGAGGCATGAGATGACTTGACCTTCCAGCTCCGAATCATCCTTTGCCTTGGTTAGGATACCATGACAGAATTTAGGAATGTCGGCTTTGCAGGCTTTTCTTAGCACAGGGTTTAAGCGGTAATCTAGAGTAAAAACATATCAGTATATGGTAAAATGGTTCACCTATGAATTTTCACAAATTTTTGGAATTTACCTTTCAAAGGGGGGGCATATTATAGATCAGCTTTACAGACTGGGCAGTGATGACACATACCAGTGTCCTAGTAGCCACACTAGTTTGCCATAGAAACTGGGCAGTAGTGGTGAATGCCCTTAATCCCAAAACTAGAGAGGATGAGAGGAGACAGCTCTCACACTCAGTCTCATTCTGAGATTCCTGGAGGCAGGATAGACATTTCAGACTGAGGTAGAGGTAAGAACCAGTGACTGGCTGCTTTGCTTTTCTGACCTTCAGGTTGAACCCCAATATCTATCTCTGAGTTTTTAATTAATAATACTACAAATAGTCATGACTATAAACACCAATCTGTTATGTTAGTAAATGGTATATGAGCTATCATGCCAGGACTGGTGTAGCTCTTAAAGGAAGGAAGGCCTTCTTGAAGTTCAAGGAATATATCCGTTCATAGTAGGGAAGACATGGTGGTAGGCTTTCTTGTTATATTTCTTGTAACATTTACATGGATTTCACAATCATCCTGCCTCAACTCTCAAGTGCTGGGATTAACTGTGCACAACTATCTTCCCCCTGTTGCTAATAAGCAATGCAACTCAGTTCAAGAGCACATCCCTGCTTCTCAGGATCCTTCCTCTCTGCAGCAGCTCTGCAGGACTTTCTGGTCAATATTAAAGCAGACAACAGAAACCTTGCCAATAACAGATAATTTTGAAGGTGCCATGACAGAAACAATACTTTTGTCCACTAAGCTACAAGCTTTCCTAGTCAAGAGCTGAAATTTCCCTTCTGAAAACAACTGGCCATGCTCATGAAGTCTGAGTAAACCTGTAGAATTCCCTTTCCTGGAAACCCTGTGCTGACTCCTCCTCTATGACTTTCAAGAGTAGCTGTTTAGATCTTCAGCGCTCTTCCCTGACCTTCGTTCTAATTTCCTGGGTAGGCTTCAAAGGAGGAGGGGTACACAGCTCATATGCAGGCTCTGCTCCTTCCTCTCTTCAAATCCATGAGCTACATGGCACCCATAGGTAACATGTCTGGCCAGTTCATGTGGGCTACACTCCGTGAGCCCAGGAGAGCAGAGCCAGGATGGTACCTGTGTTCTGGGTGATCTGGCGCTTGGTTATCATCTGTTTGCATTTGGGATCCATCAATTCACTGTTTTTATTTTGCTTCAAGCACTGTAACATGGTTTTGGAATCTGCTTCTGGACAGAACCGCTGCAAAGAAAACAAAATTATATGAAAAAACTTATCCTAAACTAGCAACTAATCTATCTGTGATTGCTTTTACATCTACCTGGAATTCATGAAAACATAAAAGTTACAGACAAAGGCATCAGTAGGTGCCAGACTTAGGGTCCCTTGTTTACCTTTTCCCCTACAGCCAACATTTTTCACATTTCTCCCTGCAAACACTGGTTACATTCTGCATGGGTTTAGCTGGTTACTATGGTTATGTCACAGTAGAGGCCACCTCAAAAGTGCGATTAATGTGTAAGTACGAATGTAACACTAGACCAGGTGCTATCCAGCCCCCAAGCCTTACCTACCCAACCACAGAATTTAGGAAATAACAACTATTAACCCACATGAACAGGGATCTGGGGTAAGGATCCACGTGGTTTAAGTTATAGGGGCTGAAATCTACCAAGCATGTGAGGTTGGTTCCTATACTCTACCACTGTCCCTAAATAAGAGCTCAGTTTTGTCTGGTAATGAACCCCATCTCTATTTGTTATCCTGAGTGTCTGCATCACAGTGTCTCAGACTCTGCTAGGACACTTCAGCACCAAGTTTCCCTTGCTTGTTTTAGGGTTCATGCTCTCCCCCCATCCCTTTCCCCTTTTCTTTGGCACATGCATGCACGCACATACAAATAAATAAACATTACATCCTCACAAACATTTATTGATAGGATCAGCACTGTTTATTAAAGGGAAGCTGAAATGCACAGTTTTATTAAAATTTCTTTGCATTTTTTAAGTTTAATTTCTTTTTAATATTTATTTATTTATTCATTATGGATACAAGAGTCTGTGTGTATGTCTGCAGGCCAGAAGAGGGCATCAGACCTCATTACAGATGGTTGTGAGTCACCATTTGGTTGCCAGGAATTGAACTCAGGACCTTTGGAAGAGCAGGCAATGCTCTTAACCACTGAGTCATCTCTCCAGCCCCAGTTTAATTTCTTTGTATATACAGGCAGGTTAAGAACATTCACTGGAGGATCACTTGAAGAAAAAGAATGTGCGAATGGAAACAAACACATGGCTCAGTGGTTAAGAGCACTTATTGTTCTTGCAGAGTACCTGGGTTTGGCTCCCAGCACTCATGTGCCATCTTACTAAAGTTCTAGGAAACCCAATGCCCTCTTAGACCTCAGTGGTCTTAGGCATGTATATGGTGCCCATTCATATATGCAAGCAAAAGACTTATACATATAAAGTAAAATTTAAAAAATCTTGAAAAAAAGAAACATCTTGAGTGTGGGAGAGGTTTGGTGAAGACTCTGGACTGTGGCTTTATCAGCACACCCATCCTGGCCAACTATTAGCTCAGCTCTGTGATTTTCCAACTCGAACAGCATCCACAATGCCTGGAGGGCTTATGGACACTGTCCGCTCCATACCAGAGATTCTGGAGGCTCAAAAATCCACAAACTGGCAGGTGAAGGCAATGCTACTGACTACAGACCACAGCTGGGGAAATCACCATGGCAGCCATGTTTAACAGGATACAATGGAAAGGGTTCATGCTGTTACTGTCACTTGGGTCACACTTGTTCCTTACCTTAATCATCTGCTTGCAGACTCGCATGAGTGTGTAGTCTAGTTCTGGGTCCATCATCTCTGTCTCCTGAAGCTTAAATACTCTCTGGTGGCAGCGGGTGCTCAGCTGCTTCTTGTTTTCCTTCAGACATTCAATAATCTATGACGTTAAGAGTTATGGTTGAGTTAGAAAGCATGAGGGATTGAAACACATCTATTTTGACTGCAACACGTATTTCAATGAATGACACTGTTTTCCTTTCCCAAGATCTTTTGTTTCTAATTCCAGGAATAGGATTAAGGATTTTCTCATTAAGGAGAATTATACTCATGGATTTATAACCCGAGAGCCAATAGTGGACCAAATGACAAAAATCAGGGTGATCAGCAGGCTGTACTGGAAAAGGAAATCCACTTAGGTTTTCTAGTTCCTTCTACTTTGTTCAGCCACACATTTCACTGACTATTCTGACTAGAGAGCAGGTAGTCTTCTAGAGATTCAATTAAACTCAACTTATATTTTATAAGAATGGTATTAGATGCTAAGTATGAATTGGACCCAATCCTCCATGACAAATAACATGAAAACTATGAAAAGCTAAGACAGAAAAGGTTGAGCGGCAATATAAAAAGTACCACGGGACAGTCTATATTGAATGCTGGGGTTGGTATATATTGAAGCAACCTACTCACTATTCTAAATCTTAGATAAAAATCCATAATCTGCCAGGGCTCTCACATGAAGCCATGACATCTCTCTGAAGGACTTAAGGACAACCAGGAACCACCAACTAGATAAAACACACTGACACCTTAAGAAAAGAAACATAAACAAAGGACTCAAACCTGAGGGGGAAAGCTAATAGGTCAAAGGAAAAAAAAAGCAAAAATATATGTAATGTCTTTGGTACAATATAGAAAATGATATAAGAAATGATAAAGAATCTAGACCAGGTAATTATGAAAAGAAGCAAGCAACGATTTAGAAAATGAAAAGCCCAAACAGTGGTATAGCACATTCCTATCCAAACAATTAAAATGAGAAGGATTTAAAAATGAAAGAAAGAAAAGAAAGAGAACTGACAACAAACAAATTAGTATGCTGGGTAACAGAAGATGAGCAATTACCTCAAATGCAACACAGAGACAGAGTAACCAAGGCTGGAAAACATTAAGATAAAGGTGAAGAAGGACACTGGGGACAGACCTGGGTGCACCACCTGTCCCCGGAATTCCAGGAAAAAGGAAAAGCAGAGCAGTATTAGAGGAAGACCCTGTTCTCCATGACAAAGTTGAGACCCTGTCTGGTCTCATTCCCACTGAAATTATAGATCAAACAAAGCAAATCTAAAAGAAAGATTAACTTCAGAGAGAGAGAGAGAGAGAGAGAGAGAGAGAGAGAGAAAGAGAGAAAGGACTCAAACTGTGCATTGGCAACTACTTAGACAAGACAGAAAAAAGAAAGCATCTTAAAGGCTAAAGTACCAGAGCAAGGTCCTAGGCAGCTGAGAGAGCAGACACTTAAAAAAAACAAAAACCAAAAAACAAATTCATGAAGCCGGGCACTGGTGGCACGTGCCTTTAATCCCAACCAGCACTCAGGAGGCAGAGGTAGATGGATTTCTGAGTTCGAGCCCAACCTGGTCTACAGAGCCAGTTCCAGAACAGTCAGGACTACACAGAGAAACTCTGTCTCAAAAAAAACAAAAACAAAAACAAAAAACAGAACAAAACAACAGCAGCAGCAACAAAACAAAACAAGAGAAAACAAGAAAGAAGGAAAGAAGGAAGGAAGGACGGACAAATGAACTGTGCAGTGGAGCATGGGGCGAATATCGGATGTGGAGTTACTGGAGAAGCTATAGAGAAGAAATACCGAAATGAATACCAGGAACTTACTGGGTAGACAAGGCAAGGCAGAGAGGGTACAGAGGAGTTGCCTGGCAGCAGCTGGGAAAAGCAATCTAGAACCGCCCAGCAGGATAATTAAGCTGATTAGGATGTGGCAGGCCTTGTCTCAGCAGTGAGAAACTGACTGCAATAATGATTGCTTAACTTGACCTCCGATATCTTAAAAACAAAAATGGGGCAGGTGGTGGTGCACACCTTTAATCCTAGATCCTAGCACTTGGGAGGCAGAGGCAGGCGGATCTCTTCCAGTTCGAGGCCAGCCTGGTCTACAAAGTGAGATCCAGGATAGCCAAGGCTACACAGAGAAACCTTGTCTCAAAATTAAACTTTATATATATATATATATATATATAATGTAAATTATATATACATAAATATGTACACACACACACACACACACACACACACAAAAGTGAAGTGTTACCTGAGCATTTCCATACTGTACTGTAGAACAGTAGCTCTTGATGTCACTCTTGCAGGCTTCATACAGATCTGGTTCCAAACGAATGTCTTCCGTCTGCATGAGTGAGCCAATGTGGGAAGGGAGGTGATTTTTAAGCAAGAGATGTCAATATATTTTTTAAAAAGATTTACTTTTATTATTTTAAATCACATGTAGCTATGCATGCCTGGATGTGGGTATGTGCACACGAATGTAGGTACCTGAGAAGGTCAGAGGTGTCAAGATGCCCTGCATCTGGAATTACAAACAGGCATGAGACATCTGATGGGGGCTGAGAACTGATCTCAGGTCCTCTGGTAGAGTAGCAAGTACTCTTAACCACTACACTGTCTCTCTAGCCCCCTGAAGATGGGAGGTTTACAGACTTATCTGCTGACTGGACACTGTCTAGGAATGACCTCTATAGGTGGCAGCAGTGTGGAGAAGGCACTAGTTGTCATATGCCCCCCCAATTGTCTCAGATGGGTCTTGTGGGGAGTAACCATGGCCCCCAAGCTGACAGACCTAAATTTAAGGGAAGGCGTTTTATTTCAAGGTGAAGGGAGATTTCTCTTTCCCCCCTTCTTGCTGGAGCTGAAAAGTGAAGTAGGTAGTTCAGCTGCCTCTGGCAGCCGTCCTGCAGCCGGAGGATGAAACTGATGTCAAGGACAGATGAGTGGACAGTTAAGATCTTCTGACCCTGAGGACAGTACTGATCCAATGACTATAAATGCTTTGAATATATCCCAGTTTGGCTTCTAGCGGTACGTGGCAAAAAAATATTCTATCATTTAAAACCAAACTCAAAACAGTGAAGAAGCAGCTAATGTCATACAGAAAGATTTTGAATTGTAACTACATCTCACGCTTCACAATGGTAGCAGGAGCCATCTCCCTGTCCCTGTCCCTCTGCAGCTAAGCACTGGTCCTGTTGTCTCTGGAAGCATTACCATCTCCAGCTCCTCCACACGGAGTTGCTTGCGGCACTTCAGTGATACCCGGTGCTCCTTGACTTCCTGCAGAGTGTCGTTGCGCACGGTGGTGCTCAGGCAGATCACTACATCAACCCTGCCATGGAAGGAGAAGGCATAAGACTGTCTGCAGTGGGGCAAATGCCAGGGCACTGGGCTGGAACGGGGCCAGAATTAATTAATTCATATATGTATATTTATATTTGCACACTATGTTTTTTAATGTTTTTCTTGTAATCCTCACTGCTGTTTTCAATAGTTTAACTGTCCCTCTGATTAACCATGTCTTGAAAAGGCCAGGTTAATATGCCATAGTATGGCATATCTGGATGTCAAATAAACACTAAGAATCACCTCATTTAATTGAAAAGGTAAAAGTTCTGAATTTGAAAGGAAAAAAAAAGTATGTCAAGATTGGTAGAACTACAGACTAGAAGATATTGTATCTATACTCATATGACTTTTATTATAGTATATTGTTTCAATTTTTTTCTTAAAACAAAAAGGAAAGAAAAACAATCAGGGTCTCACAATGCACTCCAGAATGGCCTGGACCTCAGAGTCTTCCTGTTCAGTCTCCTGAGTTCTGAAATAAAGATGTGTGGCCACCCCAAATACCCATATAAATAATTACCATTAATTTCCTACTAAGTCTAATTTATAAATCAGGCTCTGTCATGGTATACAGATATAGTGGAAAAGGTTACACAGGGTTCGAAACATTTGCAGTCTCAAGCACTTTCTGTGGCTTTAGAACACGGCCCACTGCACCTCAGAAGCCAGGCAGAGAATGTGTGGGGACAATTCAACACTTGTTTATTAGAAACAATAATGACCACAGAAAGAACAATGCTGTTATCGTTCACATTCTGTGAAACATTCCCTAAAGATACAGAAAAAATAAATTTTGTCTAAAATGGGGATCTGGCCTCTGTTCATAAAAGGTAAAATGTGTTCTAGTAAAGACACTCCCCACCCCGTCCACCCACACCACCAAGAACAACTTGTAAGATTTGGGCAGCTGTGCTGTCAAAACCTATCAGATTCTTCACTGAGGCCTAATTCCTAAGGGAGTTGAGGTCGACTTATTTCCCAAAGCTCTACTTCAGTGAGGCTGTGTGCTCCTCTGCAGAGACACTGCACTGGGGGAGGTGCTGGGAAGAAGGCGACTCAACAACTATCTCTTCTCAGGACATCTACACCTGATTCAGAGAGGCAGTCTAAACTGAGGCTGAAAAAAAAAGTCAAGAATATTCCCTTACTGCAGGGGCTTTTCTTTTGAGATTATCCATGACCAAATGTGGCTGAGAGGGAGCTGTGGCCATAGTCTGTGCAGACAATGCCAGGGTTGAGTGGCCTGACCATTACCACCAGAGAGCAGGAAGTTGCCCCATACCCTACATACTCATTCAGAGGCTGAGGAAGACTTCAGGAGGCAGGACAGATCAATTAAGACACGTACTTCTTTTTTATGTTGGGACAAAGTTTTAACACATCCTCCTTGCAGGCCATTTTGAACTTGTAAGAGAATCGAAAATCCTTCATCTGCACCTAAAAGATGTGAAAGAAAATCAGCTCTGTGGCAAACCACGGTTAACAGCAATGGCTAATATTAGCATAAAGCTTCCAGAAGTCTGGCCCAGGCTGAGGATGAAACTCAGTTCACGGAGCGCTTCACTAGCATGCCCAAAGCTCTGGGACTGATTCCCAGCTTCACATAAAAAACCGGTACGATGGTACGATGGTACATGTCTATAATACCACAGCACAGGAAAACTGGAGGGTCAAGGTCACCTTGGCTATACAGCAAGGTTGAGGCTAGACTGCTCATGAGAATTTTGCAATCTGTTGAGACTCCCCCTTTACTGGTCGTCCTGTCCTTCAAATCACACATCTGGGTTTACTATGCCAAAAGTGTTTCTCTGGCAGAACTTCACAGTTTCCACGGGCATTTCCTTCGGGGTTCTATGTAGTCCTATTCCTTAGTATCTCCTCTTGCAGTCCTTTCATCCCAACTCCTGCCCTGGTTTTGTTTCTCTTCCTTGAACCAGCCCAGATTGTGTAGCCATAATATACACTATACTTGTTCTGGCATCTTTCCTTTACTAGAGTCTACATTCTATGGCAAGAAATGCAATCATGTGGGCTACACGCTCTGAGCAGTCTATTGGTTAGCAATAGAGGTTATTACCTCAGCTGACTAATTATCCTTCCTGCACAAAGTGCTTGCATACAGAACTCCCTTAGCTTCCTTCCTGTTATTACAAAGATTATGGTAGAGGCACCTTATTCAAATGGTAGGTACATTTGAGTTATATGAATTAAAAAGAAAAAAAAGGGGGAATATGCAGTGTAGAGATTTAGTTCAGTAGAAAACCGCTAGTAAGGTTAGCCCCTGGGTTCAACCTCCAGCACACAATGGGGCAAAGAGATAAAAAGAAGAACACAGTAGAGCAAAAGAGAGGACTCAGGGTACAGACTATTGAGGTCCATCTAGACTACTGTACAGAACAACACACTCCAGTGATGTTAAGTACCACTTAATGTGAGCATTAACCAGAGCAGGAGTTGCTTGTTCTTGTCTCTACCCCTCTACAGAGAATGTTCTCTAGGACTATGCCTCATCTGTCACTGAATGCTAAGGAGCTGAGGTAAGTGCCTGGCCACAGTTGAAAAAAGTCACATTTACTGAGAGAAGTTCTAAATAGAGCACATAACTGGAAATAATGAGAAGAGCACAACTTCTTGGTTGTTACAAAGCAGGAAGATATTCAGTAATCACCCCAGCAGCCAGACAGGAAATCGACTGACCAGCTGGAAGTGAGTGACTCCAATGGCACACTTCTCATTCATGTCCTTCTGGTGTTTGTTCTGTATCAGACACTCCATCAGGTCCCCAGAATCTATTTGGTTGTCTGCCACATCCTGGGAAAGACAGCACATATTCACACTATATTTGTAATAATTAACAACATAATCTATAGCGCCATCCATGAAAAATGTGAGTAAAAGTGATTCTAGAAGCCTTCAAAAAAAGAGATACAGCATAAATTCTTCAAATAAACCCGAGAAACCAGTAAAGATAAAAATTCAGTGGCAAATGCATGAAGCGAGAACATCCACTGTGAGGACTATTACTTATTTCCTTCTGGGAGGCAGCAATGGCTTAGGGGTAATACCTAGCTGTCAGATTTTTTTTTTTTTAAAGAAGGTTTAGATTAGGTTTCTTTTTCTTTCTTCCTTTCAATGATTTATTTACTTTTATTTTATGTGCTTTGGTGTTTTGCTGCCATGCATGTCTGTGTCAGAGTTTCAGATCCCTGGAACAGGAACTAGACAGCTGTGAGCTGCCATGTGGGTACTGGCAATTGAATTTGGGTCCTTTGGAAAAGCAGTCATTGCTCCAGCCACCCCCCCCCCCCCCCCGTTCCCTCACTTCAAAAATAGTGTTTCTTTGTGCTGTCCTGGAACTCACTCTGTAGACCAGGCTGGCCTCAAACTCACAGAGATCTGCCTGCCTCTGCCTCCCAGGTGCTAGGATTAAAGGCATGCGCCACCACTGCCTGGCTTAGCAGTCAGATGTTAAGGGTTACTAAATGCACTTGACCCCTACAATTTGGGTAAAAAGGGAGTAAGAAATAAAGTAAAAGAAGTCACTTTGCACTGAGATGTAATGGAGACAGCTCGAAGAGAAAGCTACTACCATTGCTAACAATTCCTGAGAAGCAACTCAGCTGTGCCCTGGAGTTTCTCTTTTGTTTTGTTTTGTTTTTTAAGATTTATTTATTTTATGTATATGAGTGCTCTATCTGCATGTACACCTTTATACCAAAAGAGGGCATCAGAACCCACTATAGATAGCTGTGAGTCACCATGTGGTTGCCAAGAACTGAATTCAGGACCTCTGGAAGCACAGCCAGTGCTCTTAACCTCTGAGAGATCTCTCAAGCCTCTGTCTCTTTTCTTATAAAACCACCTCATCCACTTTGGTTAGCCACATACCTGCTCATGTGCAGAGTGCTACTAACTGCAGGGATCAAGCTCTATAATCATCAAGGTTCCCCAAGCTGTTGGCTCCTCCCTCAATCTATTTACAGTTCCAACTTCCCACCCCCAAATTTGCTAAAGCTGGTTATTATTCGAGAGTAGGGTATGCTGAAGACAGGGTGAACCCCACACTCTTGAGGCCCAAAGTCCTATTGAATTTGGTTCTGTCAGTAACCCGTGTTCCCCCAGACATCACTTACATGACAAAAGTTCTGAATTATAGGCTCACAGGCTCTCATCAGCAAGGCTTCTATTTGGATATCCTGTAGAAGATGAAATAGATTAATAACTCTGCTTCACAAAAGCCAAGCTTAGAGGAAGAAGACACTATAGGGTGTGTGTGTGTGTGTGTGTGTGTGTGTGTGTGTGCGTGTGTGCGTGTGTGTGTGTGTGTGTTCTAGCCCAGCTAGAACTCACAGAGATCTGCCTGCTTCTGTCTCCTGAGCTGGCATTATAGGTGTGTAGCACCTGGCATTATAGGCGGGTACCATTGCACCTGGCAGGCAAATCTTTTTATCAACTTGAACAAATGCAGAGGCAGAGATAAGAAAAGAGAGGTAATGTGCTGGGCGGTAGTGGCGATGCCTTTAATCCCAGAACCTGGGAGGCAGAGGATGACCAGGGCTACACGGAGAACTCTGTCTCAGAAAACAAACAAAACCAAAAATAAAGAAAGGAGAGATTATCTGACAATAATAGTAGAGTAAATAAGTTCTTTAAAGCTTTTACTATCTCTGTACTTCTGAACAGTACTGTCTACACTTATGAGGCTTCTTAATCTCAAGTTTTATAATTTAGTAGGCTTCAGGGTATAACAGAGAAAAACAATAATTCAATCTTTCATGTAAAACAAACAGTATGAAATGACCTCACTAAAAGAGATTTAGGGATAAGAGACTATCACTGTTTAGACTGCTTTTAAATGGATTCTGAGACCTGAAGTGCAGCAGCCATCTTTTCTCAAGTGAGAAACAGTCTAGTAAGTGATAACTGTACAGATAGCTTTCCTGGAGCTGTGATGGAGGGGTCAGGATTCAGCACAATGTGCTTCTTTATAAAGTAAACAGGGAAGGATTGACTAGGTTCTTTTGATTGACAGACAATCTGTACTCTTAAGAGTACAGAAGCAAAAGAGCTAAGTAATAATGGCCAGGCTGGGGCAGCACCTCTCCTCCAGGGAACTACTTATCACTTACCTCAGACTCTAACTCGGTGAGGTTGCCCACTATGTCTCTGCATTCCACAGCTAAGTCATCAAGATGGTCCTGGAGGCACTCAAGCTCCTGAACATAAGAAGGCAAGCCCTTAGTGTACAGTCATGGAAGCAAACAAGGGAAGGTGGGACACGGTGTCTGCCTCCTTTGTCCTTGCCTCCCCTTTAAAACCACCTTACTAAACGACAAAAGCTATATCTGATTAAAACTAAGATGTAACATGTTACTTGATAACAGTGACTGAGAAGGCCAAGTAAGTACACTGAGGACCAAGAAGTAGCCAGGTATCTTCAAACTGTAAACCTCAGCCTATAAACTTTAGTAGGCGATTCTAAAAATTTAGTTTATGTGTAAAGTGTTTTGACTGCATGTATGTCTATGTGCCATGTGGGGCAACAGAGGCCCGTAGTTCTAAGATTTCTTAGAACTGGACTTACAGATGGTGGCGAGCTACCACACGAGTGATGGAAGACAATCCAGTGCTCTTAACTGATGGGCTATTTCCCAAGACTCTTTAACCACATACTATTATTATCTAAAGGGTATTTCCTCTGGGCTTTAGATACTGAGTTGCTGCTGCTGCCTTGTACAGCCTTACTATTCACTATGCAATTCAGCTGCTTAGGATTGTTAGGACAGTTCCAGGTCACTCTCCTAAAGCTACTTCTCAGCAGAGCGCTCTGCTGAGAGCTCAGGCTCAACATGCTGACCACTCTTCAGGACTCTGTTAGAATAGGAAGGAAGATAGGAGAAGGATTGGAGGAATTACAACAGCCAGAATTGGGGTGGGGGGAATGACTCAAAGAAAAAATGCACCAAGCTTCTGCAAGTAATAAAATAGGTAAACAAGGAAAATCTTATCCATGGACTCCATCCCTAGGTTTAGTTTCATAGCTGTGGGCCACAATGTAGTTGGGATTTCTGAAGATTTACCTTATAGAACAGTGTGAAGAAAACCTTTTCTGGGATTCTACATCAGCACATTTTTGTTGTTGTTCTATTAGACAGAGGTAGCAGAAAGCTAAACAAGAGCATTTTCTAGTAATTTTCATTAGTCATCAGAGAAATGCAAATCAAAACAACTCTGAGATTCCATCTTACACCTGCAAGAATGGCCAAGATCAAAAACACTGATGACAACTTATGCTGGAGAGGTTGTGGGGAAAAGGGAACACTTCTGCATTGCTGGTGGGAATACAAGCTGGTACAACCCCTTTGGATGTCAGTGTGGTGATTTCTCACAAAATTAAGAAACAACCTTCCTCAAGACCCCGTAATACCACTTTTGGGTATATATCCAAAGGATGCTCGATTGTGCCACAAGGACATGTGCTCAATTATGTTCACAGCAGCTTTGTTTGTCATAGCCAGAACCTGGAAACAACCTAAATGCCCTTTGATCAAAGAATGGATAAGGAAAATGTGGTACATCCACACAATGAAGTACTACACAGCAAGAAAAAAAAGACATCTTGAATTTGTAGGTAAATGGATGGAGCTAAAAAACATTATTTTGAGTGAGGTAACCCAGACCCAGAAAGACAATTATCACATGTACTCACTCATAGGTGGTTTTTAAACATAAAGCAAAGAAAACCAGCCTACAAACCACAATCCCAGAGAACTTAGACAACAATGAGGTCACTAAGAGAGACTTACATAGATCTAATCTACATGGGAAGTAGAAAAGAGAAAAAGATAAGATCTCCTGAGTAAATTGGGAGCATGGGGACCTTGGGAGAGGGTTGAAGGGGAGGGAAGAGGCAGGGAGAGGAGCAGAGAAAAATGTAGAGCTCAATAAATCAATTAATAAAAAAAGATTTATTTCTTTCTAAAAAATTTATATATTATTTTAAATACATAAGTGTTTTTTCTGAATGTATGTATGTGCAACATGTACATGCTAGGGCCTGTGAAGGCCAAAAGAAGGCAGAAGATGCCCTGGAACTGGAGTTACAGACGGTTGTGAGCCACCATGTATGTCCTAGGAATTGAACCTGGGTCCTCTGCAAGAGTAACAAACGCTCTTAATCTCTGAGCCATCTCCCCAGTTATCTTGGCTCTAAACATTACACAAAGGAAAATAATCAGCTCTAATAAAAAAATCATAATATTAAAACATATGAAAAATATAACTATTCTTACATAAAAGCAAAAAAAGAAAAGCAAACAAACAGAAACCTCTGGTGGGTTTCTTCTTGAAAGAACACTGAAAAGATAACAAATCACACCAGCAAACAATGAATTGGACCTCAGGGGAATTTACACAAATGAGTCACTACATTCTGATTATGGGAAGCAAATGGAAGCTCCATCACCAACCTGCCCAGTCTCTGTTTTCTCACTACACCATTTCCCAAGGTCTATCAGGCACTTATCCTGGAGGGCAGGATCCAGCTTAACATCCATGGCACGCTGGTGTAGGATCCTTTGTACTTCAGCTCGGCATTCTCGTGAAAGCTAAATTGGAAAGAATGAACAAAAGACTTTAAAGCTAGAAAAAATAAACATATGAAGTTCCTAGACAGAACAAATCTGTTATCACCAAACTAATAACTAGCCCTGTCGTTTACTTCCCAAACTTTAAACCAAATTCTATTTTCTAGAATAAGAATTAAATTCTTTAGGGAGCTACTGAATTTCTCCAAGCAGTTATACAACCAGCATTTTTCATTAAACTATTCCTATGGCGTACTTTTCTGACAGTATCCTGGAAAAAAACAAAAAAAAAAGAGTGAACCAGATCTGTTCAAAGTAGGGTTTTGTTTAGCAACACAGTATTGCTACTCCATGAGTGTAAGATATTAGATCTGATTCAGGCAATGACAGAACATCAGTTACATAGCCAGGGGTGTATATTATAGACAGATTATATAGACCGAGCAGTGGGTAAACAGGTAGATACCAATACTTTTGGATGTCCATAAAAACACACACACCTGAGGCAGGTATAATTTCTTAGGGGGCATGGGGTTGCATTTTATTTTTTTAAAAAAATTACATCTATTTATTTACTTATTAATTGTGCAGGTGCCACGGCACATGTGTGGATCAGAAGACAACGTACAGGAGTCAGTTCTTGGTTTCCATTACGTGGGTTACGAACTCAGGGAAAAAGGCTCGGCAACAAGCACATTTCCCACTGAATCAGGCCCAAGGTGTTCCCTTTCAGAGTCACAGAATATTGACAACATTTGTACAGTACTGTGAATGTACCCAATACTAATGATTTTTTTCTTCCTTTAAAGGGCTAATTTTATGTTCTGTGAATTTCAATTCAACTCCATAAGAAGTATTTTTTAAAGCTCACGCAAAGAGTATGTTGAGATGGTTCAGTGGGTAAAGGCAGCTCTGCTGGGCCTGATGATCCCTGAGACTCACATGGTAGAAGAAACAAACTTCTGTCAGTTGTTTAATGACGTCTGCATGCATGCCATGAAAGTGTCTGTGTGTGTGTGTGTGTGTGAGAACACAAAAAAAATGTAATAAGAAAACCTGAAAAGTTAGCATAAGGGATTCTACTCCTAGAGAGAGAGAGAGAGAGAGAGAGAGAGAGAGAGAGAGAGAGAGACATAGAGGGGGGAGGGAGGGAGGGAGAGGTATTTATTTGGTATGTATACAGCATTCTGCCTGTATGTGACCCTGCAGGCCAGAGAGGGCACCAGATCTCAATCCAGGCAGGTGTGAGCCACTACGTGGTTGCTGGGAACTGCAGGCAGAACCTCTGGAAGAAGCAGTCAGTGCTCTTGACCTCTGAGTCATCTCTCCAGATCCATATTTCTCTTCCTTTATTTGTAAGAGAAAGAACCTCCTGCTGTTGTGACTAACCAAATACCAGGATATGGGAACATCTGTGGCCAATGAGAAATACTACGTTTTCTGATACAAGGAAAAAAGAAAAAAAAAGAATAAAAAAACTAGGCCAGACCTTTAGTGATTGAAGTATGACATTTTCTAATTGTATCTCCTGGATCTGAATCCTAGACAGTCTAGGCTCAGAAGCACTTTACTCAGTACAGATATGTAAAGTTCTAACACAGCTACAATCTGTAACATATGCAGACATGATATTCAATAGGGTCTCAGAATGACAGCAAGTAGTAGACCTGTGTGGTACCGGAAGAGAGATAAGTTCACAAAAACATTTCACCAAAGGGTGGCAACTGGGGCAGGGAAATGCCAAGAAGCTGGTATTGAAGCTTCTGCTCCGACTTGGTGTGTTGTCAGAGAGATCTCATTAATATAAAGCACTTGTGTTGACTGCCAAAGGCAGAAGCCTAAAGAACCACTTGTATCCTGGCTAAAAGCTTCTAATGGAACTTTAAAGCTAAATAAAGTTAGAACAGCAGAATTTAACTGTCCGTTTGTGATTCGTAATTCGGATTTTAGAGAGAAAACCTGGAAATGTAACAAAAAACAAAGCCAACACACAGGAAAGAAGCTGGTGGAGAACTGTAGCAGCGCGGATCCTCACGGGTCTAGTGCAACACCTCCCATCCCACCACAGACACCAGAAAGGCTTCCTTGTGACGACAGAAATCAGAACAGGTAGAAAACAAACGGCTTAGGAAGAAACCAAAGGTGACAGCATACCCTCCTCCCTTGTTCTTCTGTACGGTAGGCATGTCTGTATAAGCAAGAAAACACAGCTCCAGGAGGCATAAGTTCACTGGTCTCATTCCAACCATGGGTATGGCAAAGGCGAGAAGCATCTCCCTGGCATTTCCGGTATAAAACAGGGTCCAACCTATTAGGGTAAGAGTGGAAAAAGAAGCACTACTTTGCATATTTTCCTTCTCATGCATGCTGTTTTTTAGTTTTACTTTTTCCTCCTTTCAGACAATATCTCATAGAACTCAGGCTGGCTTTGAAGCTGCTATGTTGCTGAGGATGAACTCTTTCTCGAGACAGGGTTTCTCTGTGTAACAGTCCTGGCTGTCCTGGAACTTGCTCTGTAGACCAGGCTGGCCTCGAACTCACAGAGATCTTGCCTCCACGTCCTAAACTGAGATTACAGACAAGAGCAGCCACACCCAACTCTGAATGCCACTCACAAAGACACAATAGGCAACTTAGAGAAATTTGTTAACCTTCATATAGAAGACATCTAGTCTCCCTCAAAGATGTTATTGTGGCTCTGTAAGTCTATAAGACTCAGCAGCCCAGACAGCAGAGATTGTTAGCCTAGGCAATCTTTCATTAAGTACTTTCTCCTAGGATGAATGATGCAGTGCAACCCTATCTGATGTACTAGCTTCAAAAAAGATCGGGAAATAACAGGAAAAAGAAGCTCCTACTCAGAATACTCAACAACAAAAATGTTCTCTTCATCTTATGGAAGATGAAGTAGTGGTTTCTTTAATTTGTCTGAAACTTGCTTATCAAATTATAAAACATTTAACTTTGAATCATCTGAAGACACTGGATCATGTACTGAACCTGCTTTTCTTCAAACCAAACCAAGGGATGCCTGATTGCTCACATTCTATTGTCAACTGCAGGAGACCTATTTAATGGCAGGAAAGAGGCTAGCATTAAGCTTTTAGTAGATTATGAAACACATTTTTAAATCATAGGAGAAAGAGCTAAGAGTAGAAATCACTGTACTGATTAGGGAGACATGCAATAAACTCAAGTTACATCAGTTCAGATGGCTTGAGGAAGCTTGGGAAAACTATCATCCAGTTTCCTTTGATCCTTTCCATACCCATTTCTTTATCTGAAACAGGGTCTTGCTGTGTAGTCAAAGGCAGTCTTGAACTTGCAATATTTCTGCTTCAGTCTCCATTATACACATATACACTCATGTGTCAAAATGACTGGCCTTCCCGACTAATCTATAAAAATACATCAAGCCTCAAGTAACCTTTTTCCATTGACACATGTGAACAAAACATAAGTTAATCATCAAGAAAGAGTGAAGACCACAGTACAGTGATTCAAGTAAGTTAAACAGGAAGCTGCTGAGTGTGGGAGACAGATGCAGCAGTAGAACCCAAAGTCAGCAGAACTGGGGAAGGAAAAGAAAGAGTAGAAAGAACAGCTGAACACAACCAACAAACTACAGCGACTCTATTTGTATGTAGAGAGCACCACCCTAGTTCACCCTTTCTTTTTATTCTGCTAACAGGATGAGAGAAGGATTAGAACATCAAACTGTCATTTATGTGCTATTATCTTTTTAGAGTCAAAGCTGAAGATGCTCTTGCTGTCTGCACAGGTACCTGGACTCACTCTCAAAAATGTTTGGAGTATCAGGAATGTTTGGAGTCCAGCTTCCAAAGCCATGGTGAATAGGAATGTTTAGCACTCTACAGATTGGCAGGGGTTGACTCTGCTTTTAGATACTGCTCTAGAAGTATAAGAATAGGTTTTCTGGGGATTGGAGATAGTTAGCTAGCCCAGAATTTGAAAAATTTGTTAATTTGTTATTGATTACCATAAAACATAAAAGTGGGGCATGAGAACACAGTTTAGTAGGAGTGTATACTCTAAGAATGAAGCCCTGGGTTTAAAAACACATATGGGCGGGTGAGAGGGTTCCATGGTTAAAGCCCTTTATGGTGCAAGTCTGGTGACCACAGTTTGATCCTCAAAGCCAATGTAAGGGTGGAGGGAAAGAACTGACTTCATCAAGCTGTCCTCAGACTCTCATTCTCACTGCGGCAAACAAGTTCACACACACTATGCAGCAGTACACTCTAGTCAACTATTAAATTATTTTCCACATGCATACCCTTTCATTTGATACTGACCACACAAAGAGACAGAATAAGGCAGTGCCTTCCACCAGTTTTAAAATACTCACTTCCAATCCCGAGAGATAAAATACTGCAGCTCTAAGAGACGGTGTTCACAGTCTTCCACCATTTTCTCTGTGTATAAATGTTCCATCAGACACGAAAGAATCCTGGTTACAACAGAGGTGAGATTGCATGAAAGAAACATTCTGGTGACAGGCTCCAAAACTCTTATTTCAATACAGTATTTCCTTAGGGTGACATGATTTATTTTTCTGAGAATCACAAAAATTAATTGAACTTGACAGTAATTATTTCTTCTACCAGTTTTAAGCCATTTTGCACTTCAAGTTCTGCACACATAAGATCAATGTAACAGCTTTGTTTTAAATCATTTACTATGAAAATTTTCCAATAAATACAAGAGTAGAAAATAGTGTACTGATCATGTTCCCTCCTTACAGCTTTTGTGAACCTATAGCCAAATTTGTTTAAACTCAGTATCTCTTGCTGATAACTGAAGCAATTCTCAGTAAATACTATTTCTCTAAAATTGACATCATTACCATATCCACAGCAATGACAAAAAGGTAAATCTTTAATATAAAAATACTATTGTCCCCACTTCAAATAGTTTCAACTATCTCATGTCTTCTTAAATGTTTGTTCAAATCAAGACCCAGCAAAAAGAGCTACACATTGTACTTAAAGTGTCAGAGATGGAGAGATGTGTCAGTGTTTAAGAGCACTGATTACTCTCCAACAGGACTCAGCCCAATTCCCAGCACCCCATAACTGCTCTGACTCCAGGCAATCTGACACCCCCTGCTTGCCACTTTGTGTTGTTACCAGGCAAGCAAGCAGCACAGAGACATGTATGCTAGGAAAACACCATATACATAAAATGTATTTCCTTCTTTTCCCTCGTCCCTTTTCTGGTTGACATAGTTATTACTCTATAAACATTCTCAGTCTAAGTATCTAAGCATCAACCTCCTTCACCAACATAAAAACTTTAAGCAAGAATACCATTTTAATTCTCCCCTGCAGTGTGAGCAGCAGCAGCTTCCACATAAGCGAATGATACAACGCTGGACGGCACTGACTTTTTATTGTCAGGCACTGCCAGATGCAAGCTATGAAGAGTTATGTAAGCCAGCAGTGGTGGCACATGCCTTTAAGCCCAGCACTTGGGAGGCAGAGGTAGGCAGGCACTCTCTGAGGTGGAGGCCAGCCTGGTCTACAAAGTGAATTCCAGGATAGCCAATACTACACATAGAAACACTGTCTAAAAAACTAAAAAACTGAAAATAAACCCCAACAAACAAACAAAAAAGTTACATAGAACAGAAAACCTGTTCTTACTTGTAATCTGGTTTTAGGAACTGTCTTCACATCATATGGAATAAAACAAATGAACATCAAATATTTCATATTAAGTCAAGCATTTAATTAGCTTTCTGATATCTTGGATATAATGCCACTACTCAGTTTGCCTATATCCACAGTTTTGAAATATCACATCTTGTCTTCAGTCTCCTGGTGACTTAAGTAGCCAATGTAGAAAAGGATGAAAGGACAGAGAAGCAGTGTACAAGGTCACACCACCTTGAGAGCCTCTGCACTAGAAAAAGTTACTCAGTGACTAAGAGAGGTTCACGTACACCACACTGTCAATAAGCATCACCACAGTTCTGGGTTTAGCTGTCCCTTCATCACGGATGAGGCATATCAAAAGTCTCAATGTCAGTATTAGTTTTAACAAAAGTTTGGTATGTGTCACTGTTCAACAAAATTTCAGTCAAGAAAAAGCTACTCAGAAGTCATTTGAGGGAATGTTCTCTGTGCTGCCAAACCAAATACAATATGGACAGTGCTACAAGCAAGAGAACCTACATTGGGTCTCCAGATCGTATGTGTTTGCAGGCTGTCTGTATTACAGATTCACAGGCTTCATTCAAAGCTCGATCAATGCGGTAATCTGCTCCAGGGTCAGTCTCCTGAATCAGTGTCTGAAGCTGGGTTGGGGAAAAAAAAAGGTAATTAAGGCACAGAGAAGAGCAATGTCACATCATCAGATGCTCGGTCCAGCACATCACAACATAATCTAAACAAGGTTCTACAAATGTTACTGGCCAAGCTGAAAAACTCTGACGGAACACTTTCCAATTTTCTCCACTTGTTCCAGGTTTTCTGTTGAAGTCATTGTGGCACTAACATAGTTACCTGGTTAGACCCTTCACTGGGCATCCGCAAACAAGTCTTTACAATATGCCTATGTAGGCTCCCTCCTGACTAATCAGATTTCTCAACTGCTGCTTAGTCGGAAGCCAGAGTTGAAAAGAACAAAAGACAGCTCTAATTAGAGATGAATCTGATTCTAACAAGGCTATAAATTTTGCTGCAGCAACACTGGTACACAACAAGTATACAGTGTTTTATTAAGGCAGATGTGAGAGATTTCAATTAACTCACAGCTGGAATTAGAAAACAAGAATGTGCTGGATGGTGATGGTGCACACCTTTGGTCCCAGCATACCAAACAGGATGATCTCTGAGTTCGAGGCCAACTACAGTCTACAGAGTGAGTTCCAGGACAGCCAGGGATACAGAGAGAATTCCTGTCTATAAAACAGACATACAACAAACAAACAAACAAAACAAAAATAAAAAAACAAGAATGGTTACAGTTTCTTACTTTTTCCAACAATATTTATACTTTAAGGATCACAATTTACACAATGTTTGCTGTAAAGCACCGGAAACTGAGAATACATTCCTTCTCATCTACTTTTGCTTGACTCATCCTTTATTGTGGAATAAAGGCAGGAAAACAGGCACCTCAGAGTGGAGCACTGAAGAAACTGGATCAGAAGACCCAAGTTCAATTAATGGTTCTGTTCCTGTGTAACAACAGCTTTGAGAACTAGACAAGTTCATCTGACTCTAAGTTCTCCCACTATCTCTATTTTTTTCCTGTACTTTTGTTTTATGAATGAGTGTTTTGTCTACATGTATGTCTGAGCAACCCATGCAACAAGGCGCCTATGAAGGTCAGAAGAGGGTGTCAGATCCCTTGGGTCTAAAGCTACAAATGTTTCAAGGCATAATGTGGATGCTTTTAATCCCAGACACATCTCTTTGTCCCCACAAATGTTAGGTTTCCCCCCCCACACCCGGGAGGGGGCGGGTTTCCCCATGTAGTCCTGGTTGTCCTAGAACTTGTTCTATAAAGAAGACTGACCTCAAACTTAGAGACGTGCCTGCCTCTGCCTCTTGAGTGCTGGGATTAAAGTGTGCACAGCCACAACCTGGCCAAATTTTAGTTCTTTTAACTGCAGAATTTTTTGTTTTGCTTTTTTGAGATAAAATTCCTCTGTGTAGTCCTGACCATCTTGTAACTTGCTCTTTAGACCAGGCTGGCCTCGAACTCAGAGATCCATCGTCCTCTATATCCTGAGTACTGGAATTAAATGTGTGTGTGCCACCACCACTTGGGCCTTAACTGCAGATTTTAAGAACTAGCCAAGTGTGGTGGGCACATCTTTAACCAGAGCACTTAGGATGCAGAGACCTCTGTTGAGTTCAAGACCAGCCTGGTTTAGAATTCTAGGACATCCAGGGATACACACTGAGATCCCAAAACAAACAAACAAACAAACAAACAAACAAACAAACAACACATAGGCAAATAAAAATTAATACTATATGAAAAAAGACAAGGTAAATTGCAAGGCATTTTATAAATGGAAGATCATTATTACTATGGATGGGTGACATATGAGGTTGTGGAGTTGAAATCTTAAATGAGAGAAAGAAAAACAGAAAATTACAACCCTTACTCGTTTAAGTTCTCTCCCCCACACCTTAAGAATTGGATAGGGGCTGGAGAGATGGCTCAGCGGTTAAGAGCACTGACTGCTCTTCCAGAGGACCCGGGTTCAATTCCCAGCACTCACATGGCAGCTCACAACTGTCTGAAAACCCAGTTCCGGGGGATCTGACACCTTCACACCAATGCACATAAAATAAACCTAAATAAACCATAAAAATATTTAAAAAAAAAAAAAGAATTGGATAGTTTTGGGCTGGAGGTTCTGAGTTCAATTCCCAGCAACCACATGGTGGCTCACAATCATATAAAGTGGGGTTTGATGCCCTCTTCCGACATAAAGGTATATGTGCAGATAGAGCACTCATATTCATAAAGTAAATAAATCTAAAAAAAAAAAAAGAAGAAGAAGAATTGGGACATTTTCCGGCTGGGCCATGGTAGAACATGTCTTTAATCCCAGCACTAGGGAGGCAAAGTTAGGCACATGTCTGAATTCAAGGCCTGCCTGGTCTATAGAGAAACCCTGTCTCGATAAAAACTACATCTCCCTCAAAAAAATTAAATAAAACTAAATTTTAAAAAGAGGCAAGGAAAGAAAAAAATACAAACTGACAAACTGAGTTAGATGCAGTGATGAGTTAGTTGCCTTTAAACTCAGGTCTTGGGAGGCAGAGGCAGGTGGATTTCTTTGAGTTCAAGACTATCTTGGTACATAGCAAGTTCCAGGACAGTCAGGACTACATAGAGAGACCCTGTCTCAAAAAAAAAAGCAAAAGCAAAAACAAAATGATATAAACTGATACTATGATTGTGTATATATTCCAGTCCCTGGTATTCAAGAAAAGCTTCAGAGAGACTTTGCCTGGAGAATATTGTGCAGTTATCCCTGGTGTGAGAAAGCACAGGCTAAATCCAATTTGAGGAGCATATACTCAGTAAGATAATAATTATCCATATGCTTTACAGCTCAGTACTTGCTGAAGACTGTTAACAGATCACTAAATTAATTCAAGCAGAGATGAAAAAATTAATGGTCAATTACAGTTACTCAAATCCGCTGTGTTAAGAAATAAAACTTTCAAACTGAAAAGAAATCCACAAGAATTGCTTTAAAGCATTCATCAGTTTAAGGATGGATAATATAGAAGACGAAGGAAGACTCTCTCCCTTTGGAGAAATGCCTTTAGTATTTGTGATTAAAAACAAACATACAAACAACAAAAAACAACAATACAATAAAAATGAAATGTTTCTTTCCTAAGCCAGTCTTTTTTTTAAATTCTTCCCTCTTTTAAAAAAAGAGATTTTATTTATTATGTATACAACATTCTGCCTCCATGTATGCCCGCACGCCAGAAGAGAGCGCCAGATCTTATTACAGATGATTGTGAACTACTATGTGGTTGCTGGGAATTGAACTCAGGACCTCTGGAAGAGCAGCCAGTGCTCTTAACCACTAAGCCATCTCTCCAGCCCCCTAAGCCAGTCTTAATGTAGTCAAAACCATATAGTTCACTACTTGTGGCTACCCTCTGGGGTTTGGAAAGCACCTTTTCTGGGCAGAAAGGGTGAAGTGGGTGCACTTATTTACCTTTGAAACTGAGTCACTAGTTCTTTCAACAAACTAACTTTCAGGGAGTGAACATGGTGTCTTAAAATAAAGCCGAGTCCAGTCTATTTTCCTTTCCTGAACACTTTACAACAGCTGTAGGCTGAGTAGAGATAATTTTCCCTCTACCCTCCTTCCACAGCCTTTCTAGATGGAATTAAGGATGCAAAGCAAACCCAGCAGAGGCTGTCTCCTGAGCCATCCTGGACTGCAGCCAGGCATACTCATTGGCATGGAGGGCACCGAGGGCAACAGCCATCAAGGAGGACTACAGAGGAACTGATCTTCAACAACTCAGTCCACAGTAGGTTCCAGAAGCCTCCTCCTAGCTGACTTTGCTATTTTAGAGAAGAGTCTAGAGCTGTCTTTTCAGCCCACCATAAGATACATTATGTAACTGCACAATACTATCCACTCTGAGTCAGGGTTAATAGAAACTAAGGTAAAATTTTACTCCAATATCCAAGCTTATATAAGCTTGTGTTTCAGATTATCAAATTTTGTTACAAACTAAAATTCTGATTTTTACATATTAGTTAGAAAATAAAACTCAAGTAATGTTTAGTTTTTAATAACAATACAAAAAGCAAAGTATAAAATAAAATGTGGTTTTCTTTTTTTAAAACAATTTATTTATTTTGATATTATGTGCACTGGTGTTCTGCCTGCATGTATATCTGTAAGAGGGTGTCAGACCTTGGAGCAACAGTTGTGAGTTGTCATGTGGGTTCAGGGGAAGAACAGCTGAGCCTTCTTTCCAGCTCCAAATAGTGGTTTTCTAAAGCAACACTTTAGTTATAAAACTAAAGTATCTTTCATGCTTCCTAAAGGGAAAGTCACTGTAGAGGGTGCTACTATTGTATTTGGTATTCTAAATTGCACAAGGGATTTATTATTCAAAAACAAGTAACAAACGTGGACAAAGGCAATAAGACAAAGGCACTATAAAGTATTTCGTTGACTCTATTCTGATCTTCAGTTACTGGACTGCTGGCTTATAAACACTGAATTAGGAGTTACTTTACCTTCTCCCAACCACCTTTACATCCAATCCTTTCCTGCAAAGTCTGGAGCTGTGAAATAAAGACCCTTCTATTCATAGTTGCCTTGGTTTAATTAATAAAGACAGTGTAATTTTGGAAACGTTTCAGATTTGCAGCATATGAGTAAAAAGGGAACAAAAGAAACTGCCAGAAATTTTCCATTCATGTCAACTCTCAATTTCAACTCAATCAAACTTGTTAAGATAGGCAAGTTCTCTTCTGCTAACAGCTTTCCTTGATTTTGCAGAAACTGATTTGCCTTTATTCTTTCTGTGTTTAGTAATTCAATTTGGCATGTTCTTTAGAAACAGGAAAAAAATAAGCAACTCCAGAGCTGTTTTTATTGATTATGAATTCAAGCTTTGAAGTGCAGCAACTTCTACATCCTTAATAAAACTTGCCCATAGAAACGATATTTTTGTCTATCATTAGTACCTGGTGTTCATTGTGATGTCAGGAGTAATCCAGAGAAACAGGCTGTCAGGTTCCTTGGCTGATAAAATGTGACAGCTGTTCTGGCTAGTTTACATCAACCTGACACAAGCTAGAGTCATTTGAGAGGAGGGAGCCTCCATAAGACCCGGCTGTATGCAAACCTATAGGGCATTTTCTTAATTAATGATTGATGTGGGAGGGCCCAGGCAATTGTGGGTGGTGTCACCTCTAGTGAAGTGGTCCTGGGTTCTATAATAAAGTCAGCTGAGCAAGCCACAAGGGACAAATAAGTAAGCAGCAGTCCTCTATGGCCTCTACATTAGTTGCTGCCTCCAGATTCCTGCTGAGTTCCTGCCTTGACTTTGTTCAATGATTAACTACAATATGAAAGAGTAAGTATTTAAAATAAACTCCATTCTCCCCAAGGTTGGATTGGTTATGGTGTTTCATCACAGCAACAGTAATCCTAAGTAAGACAACAGCCAAGGTGGCAGTAGAAATATTTTTCCTTACCGCCTGCTGGCAGTTCATTCCAAGGTTCCCTTTTTCACCCCGAACTACTTTCATCAGACAGTGGAGGGTTCGCCCTTTCCGATGTAGTCCAGAACAGTGGTGTTCAATCTCCCCTCGGCAGCTCAGGATGATCTCAGGACTCAGAGAGAAATCTTCCATCAGCATGCGTCGATAATCTAGCATCTCCCCTTGGCACTCACTGCTCACCTGTCGCCCTGTTAGGGGTAAGTCACACAGCTATGAAAAGTGAGCTTGAGGACCAGTAATCTCTACACTTAATGCACACTTTTCTGTAGGCGAAAGAATAAGCCATTTCCTTTCTGGATTAAATTTGTATCTACTACATTGAAATGCTTAGAACTTGGCAAAAGCTTCAGCAGCATAAAGCAAACTGGGTCTCTAGAGACCCAAGTTTACCCTGCAGAGTTGTACATTACAGACCTTATAAACTAATAATGCAAATGTTTTGCCAAATAAAGTTCTTTTTCCCCCCTTTCCTTTTTTTGATTGGGGGTGGTGGTGGTGGCCTCATTCATGTTACATAGCACTTAGCCACTGAGCTACATTTATACATATATATATATATATATATATATATACACACACACACACATATATATACACACACACACACACACATCCCTAGATATCTTATTAGTAAGAAAAATATTAAGGGCAGTAAAGAAACCCAGAGAACAATCCTTATTGCCTTAAACAGCTAATGTCTGTGAAAAACAAACCAACAAACAAAAAAACCAAACCAAACAAAACAAAACTATCTTTCAAATATCACAGCAGTTCCCCCCATGTCTTTGAGCTATAAAAGTGATCAGGGAAAACTGAAAAAAGCAACAAGATCTACTCCCTAATAATTTCCCCCAATCTAAACACATAGGTTATCCAGCCAGTTAGTTTAATGATATAATTTAGAGCCATAATTTGAAATCAAATCACTCTGACCTAAAACTCGTGTAACATGTTAATCCCACTCTTCTTTTTTTAACTAATTAATTTATTTATTAAAAATTTCCCACTCTTCTAAAGAATGCTTCAGTAGCCACTGTACAAATTAGAAGGTCTGAAAGAAACAGAGTAGGAAATGACTAGTCATAGGCACGAGAAGCTTCAGAAGGGGACTGAGAAGGAACGAGAGGGTAAAGGGAATGAAGCATTAATCACCTCTGTGCACAGCTGACTCCAGGCACATCAGAAGGTAGGAGAGCCTGGCTTCCCGGGACCGAGGAAGGTTTTCCACATTGCACCGGTATTTCTTCAAGTCACTCTTACAGGATTTGGCCAGTGAATAACTGACTTTATAATCCTGGGCAATGAGCTTTTGGCGTGTAGTTAGTGCTTCTCTACACTGAGGAAAGAGTGTAAGGGGAGGTGAGACCACTTAACATGGCTCAGTTATTTGATAAGCAGAAGACACTCAGAACCATGCATGTCAACAACTGTACTTTATACTAAAATGCCTATCTAGTTTGTTTCAAATCTGGCTCTAAGGTCTGGAGAGATGATTCAGCAGTTAAGAGCACTTGTAGCTCTTCCAGAGGAACCAGGTTCCATTCCCAGCACCTACATGATAGCTCACAGCATTTTGTAACTCCAGTTCCAGGAATTCTGACCCTCTTCTAACTTCTGCCAGCATGCACATACATGCACACAGGCAAAATATTCATATGCAAAAAATAACGAACAGTATGAAAAGAATTAGGAGTAAATCAATGGGAAACTCTGGAATCTGGTGGTGAACTGTTAGTTAATTGTTGCTAGAACGACAGCACATAGATGTCTGCTGGGTCCTAATACATTAAACTTGACACAGAGTATTCTTTCCTATTCAGTCATACTCCTGGTATAAATTTCTCAAGAAGTAAGTGGCAGCTGATATTATATCTGGATGTTCTGTTGAACAGGCTTTCTATTTACTCTGAAGACAGTAAATATTTGAGCTGTATAAGAAATCAAAACATAGATTTGCAAAATTAGTTACTTTTCAAAGCATTAAAAAGTCCTGTCCATTTAGTGACAGGACTAAGGGTAATAAGAACATTTAAGAAGATAATACTGAAAAAATTAAACAGCTGGGCTGGAGAGATGGCCCAGAGGTTAGGAGAACTGACTGCTGTTCCGGAGGTCCTGAGTTCAATTTCCAGCAACCACATGATGGCTCACACCCATTATAATGAGATCGGATGCCCAGAACACTATATATATATAATAAATAAATTGAAAAAAATCAAACAGCTGGCTACCAGTGAAGGACATTAGAATGGTTAGCATACACTACCTGAGTATGCAGAGTGATATTAATTTGGTTCTCACTTAAAAATTTCTCCAATTTTACTCTCAAATGACTTCTCACTGTATAAGCATCAAAATTTGAGTGTTGTTTTCTTGGTTTAAGACAAATATATTTTCTAAATGTATTTATTTACTTTGTATGTGAGCGTGGGGGTAGGTGGGTGCACTACATGTATGTGGAGGCTAGAGAACAACCTGCAAAGGTTGAGTTTTTCCTTCAATCATGTGGATTCTGGATGAATTCAGGTTGTCTGGCTTGGAGGCAGGGGCCTTTATTCTCTGAGCAATCCTGTCAGGTCTTCCTTGCTTTTTAAGATGGACTATCACTATGTACCATGACTGGCCTCAAACTTCAGACCCTCCTGCCTTCGCCTTCTGAGTCAGGGTATCTATCATAGGCATGTGCAATCACACCAGGTGCCTAAATATACTCAAGGCACTTAAACAAGTGTCTCAGCTCTGGAGAGTATATGTTTTACCAGTAATTCACACCTTGGCAAAGTCAGTTCTGTGGATCCATAGATTGGAATTATTTTGGAGGAAGAAAAGTGTGTTTGTACCAATTATATACAGATAATCTTCTAGTTACCACCCTCTGAACAATATAATGTAGCAACGATCATTGTAGTTATCACCTTATCCACAGTGTTAGATAAATACACACATGTGTACACAAACACATTTTGTTTTTTTGAGAAACGATTACTCTGTGTAGCCCTGGCTGCCCTGGAACTCGTTTTGTAGACCAGGCTGGCGTCAAACTCGGAGATCCACTTGCCTCTCCCTCATGAGTGCTGGGATTAATGGTGCTTGCCATCACTGCCTGACAAGTGAGGTATTATAAGCAATCTAGACACTTAATGTTCACAGGAGAATGTGCATAGGTTATTATACAAAAACTATGCTATTTTGTATAAGAAACTTGACTAACCACCCTTTGATATTTGGTATTTGAGTATGTCGGTGGTGTTTTGATATCAACCCTTTGGAAAGACCACAAGACAACCGTGTCAGAGAATGTTCTAAAAGGCAGGAGTGGTGGCACATGCTAATCCCAGAATTTGGGAGGTAAAAGAAAGAGGATCAGGACTTCAAGGTCACCCTTGGCTCCATCCTGAATTTGAGGACAGTCTGGGGTATGAGACTATGTTCCAGAAACAATCACCCAAATCTAAACCAAAAGAAGAAACTAAAGTTTGTTTGTTGAAGCTTTATAAAATAGTAAAACAATAATTCCCTTCAAAGTGGTACCTTTTCACTCATGGATTCTTCAAATTTATGGTTAAAAAGGCATTTATACACTCTTCCTTCACCAGCTTGTGTCTGTAAGAGAAAACATACACTTGATGATTACTATTAATTAAGTAGTTATGCTATGATATACCCAGTCTTACACAGAACCTTTATTAAATATACTGTTAATCAGAAAACTCAAGTGAGTCTTAAATTTGATACCAGAGTCAATAAAACTTTATAATCAGTGGTTCTAATAGTTAACACTAAAAATTCAAAATGGCATAAAGAAAGGGAGGACATAGAGGTCACTCAGTCCTTTGCTGAGTCAGAAAAGAGATCGGTCAAGTGTATACAAAGCTTAGGGTCTAATATGTATAAGGGTCTGCATCCAATTCTCAGCATAGGAAAAAGAAGGAGGGACTGGAAGTTGTCTCATGAATCAGCAGGCCAAGCTAGAGCCAAGGATAAGGTTTTAAAGTTAATTTTTTATTTGTTTTGAGACAGGATATTTCTGTGCAGCCCTAGCTGTCCTGAAAATCTATAGACCAGACTGGCCTCCAACTTACAAGATCTACCTGTCCCTGACACCAGACCTGGCTACTGTCTATTTTACTGAGAGCTGGGAATAAAGCGTGAGCCATCAACTTGCTGTAGATAAAATAGGTTTTGAAGAACTGAAATTGTGCCCAGCACGGTGGCCCTTGCCTTTAATTCCAGCACTAGGAAAACAGAGGCCGAAGATAGAGATAGATGGATCTCTGTGAGCTCAAGACCAGCCTGAGCTATATAGTGACTTCTAGAACAGCCAGGGCTATGCAGAGACAGCCTGTCTTAAAACAAAAATAAAATCATGAAATTAAAAGGTAAGAGAAAGTAGAAAAATAATGTATTCAGACTGTCAAAAACAAACTGTTAGTTACATGTTGTTATATCTTCAACACTATTTTTTGTACCTTGGGACCAATTCCATCTTCTACTTTAGTGGCTTTCCCATTTGTGCCTGTTTGTGATGGTATATTTCATTCTGGAATACAGTACTACAGATATTTAAAAAAAAAAAAAAGAAAAACAGCTTCATAGTGACTCACATTTTCACAAAAGCGCTCCCGATCATCTCGGCAAGCAAAATACAAATGACGGTCTAAATGAAAGTCATCCGAGGACAGCTCAGCCACCCGGAGAATGGCTTTCTTGCAGAGTTCAGAGACTTGAATCTTTGGCTCTTTTTCTTCTGCTTCTTTCACCAGGCCTTTTTCCAAACACGATACCACCTCACCTTGTGAATGTGCATCCTAAAATAACAAGGATATTTTAAATCTTTCACCATACAGAGATCAAATAAACAGTTGCTTCTTCAAAAGAAAAAAAAAAGGCGGGGGTGTGTGTAGAGGCTGGAGAGTTGGTTCAGTAGTTAAGAAGCACATTCTGGCCTAGCAGAGGATCTGGATTCAGTTCCTACTACTTATGCTGGAGATTCACAATTGTTCATAACTCCAGCTCCAGGAGATCCAAAGCTTCCTGGCCTCCATGGGTATATCTCTCTTACACACACACACACACACACACACACACACACACACACACACACACTCTTTAAATGGAAAATAGGATTCTTAGAAATTATTCTTAAGATTTTTTAAAAAAAGTTTTATTTATTTGTATGTGTGTATCTGTATTTGCATATGTGTATGGGTCCCTGTGGAGGTCAGAAGACGGCATCATGCTCCCTGGAGCTGGAGTTACAGATGCTTGAGAACTACCTAATATAGGTGTTGGGAATTGAACTCTGATCTTCTGTAAGAGCAGCAAGAACTCTTAACAAGAATCAACTCTCCAGCCTTGAAGTCCTAGGAATTTTGGTATAGTTTAGCATTAATAATAAGGTCTTGAGTTTTTATATTTTTATGGTTTAAATGTCAGGAGTTCTTCCCTCCTATTAAAACAGTAGGCTTTAAAGTTTTCTAAGTTATTTATTTAGTTTGTATATATATATGGACAGAAATTCTTAAGAAATGACATTGGGGCTGGAGAGATGGCTCAGTGGTTAAGAGCACTGGTTCCTCTTCCAGAGGTCCTGAGTTCAATTCCCAGCAACCACATGGTGGCTCACAACTGTCCTATAATGAAATATGGTGCCTTCTTCTGGCCTGCAGATATAAATGCAGGCAGAATACTATATACATAATAAATAAATAAAATCTTAAACACTTGGTGGGAGGAGAAATGACACTCTCCCAAGTTTTCCTCTTATCTCCACGTGTGCCATCACACAGCAGGTGGGAGTGGGAAGAGACTGAGAGACACATACAGAGAGAAATAAATAAATAATCAGAAATAAGCACTGACATTATTGAGATTATAGGCATGTACCATCACACCTGGCTACTTTTTCAAAATAAAGATATTTACAAAGTTACTCTGAATTCCTATCTGGTTCTGTACATTGAGTAACTGAATTACAAACAAATATTTGACAATGGTGACAATATGGGTCAGTGGCAGAATGGTAGCCTAGTATACACAGCTCATGTATTCAATCCCCAGCACTGGGAGGTTATATGGGGTAACGCTATAAGAATTTCTGGGCATGCTGGGACAGGTCTATAATCTTAGCACTAACTTGGAGGTAGAGGTTGGAGGGTCAGGAGTCAAAGCTAGCCTCAGCCATATAGTAAGCTTGAGGTCAGCCTAGCTAATGTGAAATTCTATCTGCTTAATCGCAAAAAACAAAAGAGAAAGGAAGGAAGGTGTACTGAGGATGTGGCATAGATGGCAGAGTACTTAGCCTACAAAAGACTCTAGGCTCCATCCCTGGGACAATATAAATCACAGGATCACAAATGGCAACTGAAGCAGGTCACATTCAGCTACTTAGCAAATTCCATGCCAGCCTGTGCTACACAAAGCCTTGTTTAAAAAAATGGGGGGAGGTTGCCGAGATGAGATGGCTTAGTGTTTAAGAACAATGGCTGCTTTTCCAGAGGACCAGGGTTCAGTTCCCAGTACCCATAAGGCAGCTCACAATTGTCTGTAACTCCAGTTCTAGGCAATCTGATCCTTTTATACCAATACACATAAAATAAAGTTAAAAGAGAAAGAGAGAGAGAAAGGGGAAAAAAGAAAAGAAAAAGAAAGCAGGTAAAGTGCTTGCTGTATCAGCACAGACACTGAGAGAAACAATTAATAAATGGGACCTCCTGAAACTGAAAAGTTTCTATAAAGCAAAGGACATTGTCAACAAGACAAAACGACAGCCTACATAATAGGAAAGATCTTCACCAACCCCACATCAGACAGAGCTCTGATCTCCAAAATATACAAAGAACTGAAGAAATTGATCATCAAAAAAACAAATAATCCAATAAAAAAATGGAGTACAGACTTAAGAAGAGAGCTCTCAACAGAGGAATCTAAAATGGCTGAAAGACACTTAAGGAAATGTTCAACATCCTTAGTCAGAGAAATGCAAATCAAAACAACTCTGAGATTCCATCTTACACATGTAAGAATGGCCAAAATCAAAAACACTGATGACAACTTATCCTGGAGAGGTTGTGGGGAAAAGCGAACATTTCTGCATTGCTGGTGGGAATGCAAGTTGGTACAACCCCTTTGGATGTCAGTGTGGTGATCTCTAAAAAAATTAGGAAACAACCTTCCTTAAGACCCAGTAATACCACTTTTGGGCATATAGTCAAAGGATGCTCAATCGTGCCTCAAGGACATGTGCTCAACTGTGTTCATAGCAGCATTGTTTGTCATAACTGGAACCAGGAAACAACCTAAATGCCCCTCAACTGAAGAATAGATAAGAAAAATGTGGTACATTTACACAATGGAGAACTACACAGCAGAAAAAAATAAGGACATCTTGAATTTTGGAGAAATTTTGGAAAATGGATGGAGCTAGAAAACATTATTTTGAGTGAGGTAACCCAGACCCAGAAAGACAATTATCACATGTACTCACTCATAGGTGGTTTTTAAACATAAAGTAAACAAAACCAGCTTACAAACCACAATCCATGCTGGTCTTGAACTCAAGAGATCTGCTGGTCTCGGCCTCCCATGTGCTGGGAGGCACGCATCACCATGCTCAGCTAGATTTATTTAAGTATATGGTGCTAGAGATTAAACCAAGGCCTCTGTGTAGGGGAGGGTTGGGGTGGATGGCACAGGTGCCAAGTGAAGATCGGAGAATAACTCATGGGAGTCAGATCTTTCCTTCCTTCATGTGGACCTAGGAAATTGAACTCAGGTCATGTGACTGCAAATGTCTTTACCTTCTGTGCCATTCTACCAGCCACCACCTTCTGCCCATTTTTTTAAAAAAAGATTTATTCTATTATAAATTGTGTGTGTGTGTGTGTGTGTGTGTGTGTGTGTGTGTGTGTGTGTGT